CCACTCCATCCCCCACAGTTTTACCTATTGTACCACTCACCCCTCCCTCCTATATTGTAAGCTCCAAGGAGCAGGGCCCTCAATTCCCTCTTGTATTGAACTGTATTGTTATTGTATTTTCTCCCACTATAATGCAAAGCGCTGAGCAAACTGTTGGCGCTATATATATCCTATATAATAATAATAACTTTAAATTCGGTTTAAACTCAGAGAGGAACTTCTTTCAATCTTCTCAGAGATGAAATAACAAATGTAAAAGAAGATGACAGCTAAAATTTTAATTATGAAGCAGGTTTCATATAAAAACTGGAAGGAATCCAAAGGGTGATGATTGTGGTTTGCTTCAAATTAAGAGTGTCAAAACGAAAACAAAAAGGCAATAGGAATCAGCAAACATATCAGATTAAAAAAAACAAAAAAAAACAGACCCAGTGAGGTTCAAAAGAGGGATCAGCAGTAGCTGTGATGGACCCATACTGCAGAGGGCTCCTGGGCAGACCAATAATATAGGCCCCTTTCTGATGCTCATCTCCATTTTGATACATGATCATTATTGGTCTAAATACATGCATGACTTCTTGCTGTGGTGCCAATCAGTCACTCTGTCTCCTTTGGAGTCTGCCAATATCTTTGCCTGTAAGCTGGCAATTTTGTCTCAGTTACATCTCATTTTTGCCCATTTATGGTCATCACTAGTATCACTTCATGTTTACTCACCAGTAACAACACCCCCCAATAACATTGTACAGCCTTTGAGTAGTTAAAAGTGGATCTAAACTTATTAAAATGTTACTAAACCCACAACAGTACAATCAGTCTGTAGATGCAGTAAAGCATGCTTGTTATACTCACTGTGGAACCTAAGGGGTTAATCCTCTGCATTGCGTAAAAAGGATGTTTCATCCTGACTTCTTTGATCCTCCCCTTCTTCTACTGAACCCAATCCATCTGCTGATAGAACAGAGCCTTGGGGGCAAGCTGCACATGCTCAGTTTGTGGTGTATTGTTAGAGTTTTTTTTTTATTGGGAGAATGCATGTGATGAGCACAGGGCCAGTCAGTCCAGACAAAGGGTCAGGGGTCATGCAAACCTCATAGTACAGTCAGGGGAGAATGAAAACTCCTCCCAGAAGATTAACCAGTGCTCTGCTGGACGCTGATAGAAGTCACAAGACTGCTATATACTGCTGATGAGAAAAGAAATTTAGCAGTTTATATTTACTAAAAATAATTGCGTTTCCATGTTCTGTGTACTGTGGGAGACCAAATATAGTGAATGCAGGATCCGGGGAGAGCGGATATAGTGAATGTGGGGTCCGGGGAGAGCGGATATAGTGAATGCGGGGTCCGGGGAGAGCGAATATAGTGAATGCAGGGTCCGGGGAGAGCGGATATAGTGAATGCGGGGTCCGGGGAGAGCGGATATAGTGAATGCGGGGTCCAGGGAGAGCAGATATAGTGAATGCGGGGTCCGGATGAGAGAGCGGATATAGTGAATGCGGGGTCCAGGGAAAGCAGATATAGTGAATGCGGGGTCCGGAGAGAGCGGATATAGTGAATGCGGGGTCCAGGGAAAGCGGATATAGTGAATGCGGGGTCCAGAGAGAGCGGATATAGTGAATGCGGGGTCCGGGAGAGCGGATATAGTGAATGCAGGGTCCGGGGAGAGCGGATATAGTGAATGCAGGGTCTGGGGAGATCTGATATAGTGAATGCGGGGTCCAGGGAGAGCGGATATAGTGAATGCGGGTTCCGGTGAGACCAGTATAGTGAATGCAGGGTCCGGGGAGAGCGGATACAGCGAATGCGGGGTCCGGAGAGGGGATATAGTGAATGCGGGTGTCCGGGGAGAGCGGATATAGTGAATGCGGTGTCCGGGGAGAGCGGATATAGTGAATGCGGGGTCCGGGGAGAGCGAATATAGTGAATGCGGGGTCCGGGGAGAGCGGATATAGTGAATGCAGGGTCCGGGGAGAGCGGATATAGTGAATGGGGTCCGGGGAGAGCTGATATAGTGAATGCTGGGGTCAAGGGAGAACGGATATAGTGAATGCGGGGTCCGGGGAGAACATATATAGTGAATGCGGGGTCCGGGGAGAGCGGGGAATAGTGAATGTGGGGTCCGGGGAGAGCGGATATAGTGAATGCGGGGTCCGGGGAGAGCGGATATAGTGAATGCGGGGTCCGGGGAGAGCGGATATAGTGAATGCGGGGTCCGTTGAGAGCAGATATAGTGAATGCGGGGTCCGGGGAGAGCGGATATAGTGAATGCGGGGTCCGGGGAGAGCGGATATAGTGAATGCAGGGTCCGGGGAGAGCGGATATAGTGAATGCAGGGTCCGGGAAGATCGGATATAGTGAATGCGGGGTCCGGGGAGAGCGGATATAGTGAATGCGGGGTCCGTTGAGACCGGTATAGCGAAATGCAGGGTCCGGGGAGAGCGGATATAGCGAATGCGGGGTCCGGAGAGGGATATAGTGAATGCGGGTGTCCGGGGAGAGCAGATATCGTGAATGCAGTGTCTGGGGAGAGCGGATATAATGAATGCGGTGTCCGGGGAGAGCGGATATATAGTGAATGCAGGGTCCGGGGAGAGCGGATATAGTGAATGCGGGGTCCGGGGAGAGCGGATATAGTGAATGTGGGGTGCGGGGAGAGCTGATATAGTGAATGTGGGGTCCAGGGAGAACGGATATAGTGAATGCGGGGTCCGGGGAGAACATATATAGTGAATGCGGGGTCCGGGAAGAGCGGAAATAGTGAATGCGGGGTCCGGGGGAGAGCGGATATAGTGAATGCGGGGTCCGGAGGGAGCGGATATAGTGAATGTGGGGTCCAGGGAGAGTGGATATAGTGAATGCAGGGTCCGGGGATTAGTAACACTTTAAATAAAGATCTGTTTATCTTATAGAGAACATATAGTAGTGTTAATTGTGACTAAGCTGTCCCCAAGAAATTTTTCCTTTTTGTCATGAATTCCTCCTGAAAATGCACTTACTGTGCCGTGGCATGCCATTCTGTAGCCTTATAGTTGTAGATTTGCAGTGAGAGCTCAATAGAGTCGCTGCTGCCTCTGTTAGTCGCTCCAGATATGGAGCGAGATTTGGTTATGTAACTTCCATGCTGCTCATTGTTCTCCTTGCTGGAGAGGAAGCTTGTACCTAGGGACCTGCAATACAAGGATCTCCCTGTTGCTTCTTGATCATTACCCCACAAGTCATTGGGGGATCAGCTCTGAAGACGCAAAGCCCTACCTGTACTAAGATGGCGATCTCCACACAGAGACAATGCAGAACAAGGTATGGTAAGTCAGCAATGGGGAAAGATCAGCTGCAAGGATACCACAGACATTATTGTGGCTAGTCCTTTGCCTTCAGCTTTTTGTGGGTATAACTTTCAGAGTACAGCTCTTTAAAGGATAACTGTAGTATCATAAATGGTGCCAACTTGGACATAATTAACCTCTTATCACTGGCCTCTCACATATATGCGGCTACTTGGCGTGTGGACCCCAATGTTGAGCGGCTGCATAATGCGGCCCTGTTAAAACTACTTACTGTGCTGAGAGTGCACTCCCTGAACGCTCTCAGCACAGTAGCCGGTGGAGATCAGTAAGCTCCCAATGCATACCTGCAATGGAGAGCTTTCCAATCATGTGACCGCTGTGACAGCCAATCACAGTGGTCACATGACCCGAAGGCCCGCTTCCGCCTTAAAGGGCCGGGAGGTGGCTGGAGCCAAAGGGTTAAGATATTTCCTAAAAGTACACTTTTGTATCTGTTAACCAGTTGCCCGCTGCCCTGTAGCAGAAATACTGCTGCGCAGACTCATGTATATATACGTAATTTTCATTTACGGTTAGGGGGCGCGCGCCACCCTACCCGTGCTGCCATTGTCAATCACCGGGTCCCGGCGGGAAATTCTCTGCCGGCACCCAGCGATCGCTAAGTAACACTACAGGGAGAGACCTGTGTGTAAAAAACACAGGTCTCTCCTACCAGAAATAACATGCTGCTGTGTATTTCTCTGCACAGCAGAGAAATACACAGCAGCTTGTTTCCCAAGTAAAACACACACAGCACACAGTTAACCCTTTGATCGCCCCAGATGTTAACCCCTTCCTGCCCAGTCCATTAGTACAGTGTCAGTGCTTTTTATTAGCACTGATCACTGTATTGGTGTCATTGGGGATGTCAGTGGTAGTTAGTTCCACCCCAGTGTCAGAATGCCCGCCGCAGTCCCGCTATAAGTCGCTGATCGCAGTAACGCAGCGCCGTATTGCAAAAAATGGCCTGGTCAGGAAGGGGGGTAAATCCTCTGGAGGGCAGGTGGTTAATGCAGAAGATCCCCAACTGTAGAACGGCCTAGCTTGTAACTTTGTCTGTACCTGAGAAAGTGTTGGTGATGGTGGTGGTGGGGCACCATGTCTGTATGATGATGCTGCTTGGAAATAATGTTCTGAGATGGACACCATATCCCAAATGGCACAGTGGGGTTGGGTGTGACTCTTCACCAATTCTGGATGGACTAAAGCTTTAAATTAGGCAACTCATCGTATTTGCTTTATTTAGGTCTGAATGTAGACTTTGCATAGCATTACAGAGGCTTCACCTTTTCCCAGGTTGACAAGTGCTATTGAAGTCAGAATTGGTCCACACTATTCAATGCTACACCGCATACCTTCAGAGATGCTCAGACAAAGTGAAATAAAAAGAAAAAGTAACCAACCGTCAAGTATTTAGACTTGATCTTGTCTGTAAGCATGACCATTGCTGGTTCTGGTGAACCCATAGCTCTCTAGGTTCCCTGAGCCTGATGCAACCTAAGCTGGCAACAGCAGACTGGTTTGCACCACACAATTTGTGGACAATACTGTCAAGCCAGCCAGCTGTGAATGAGCTACCGGGGAAACCAAACTTATGCAAAGAACACAACGTAACTCTTACACGAGCCAACGTCTACTCCATCTACCTGGCTTCCAACCTTGTGTGAATTTTCTCGTGTTTCTTAAGCTGAGACTTCTTTATGAACCTTCTGCCACATTCAATGCAAGAATATGGATAGGCTCCTGTGTGGATAATCTCGTGCCTCAAAAAATTGGACTTGTCAGTGAAAACCTTCCCACAGATCTCGCATGAGTAGGGCTTCTCCCCAGTATGAGTTCTAAGATGGTTGGCCAATGTTGAGGTCTGGATGAACCCCTTCCCACACACCGAACAGGAAAAGGGCTTTTCCCCGGTGTGGATTTTTTGATGTCTATCGAGGTGGGACTTCCATATAAAACGTTTGCCACACTCGTAGCATGAAAACGGCTTATCACCAGTGTGACTCGTTTGGTGCCTCAGAAGGTAAGATTTTTGAGTGAAACATTTGCCACACTCAGTGCATGCAAAGAGATTTTGGCCTGAATGAGTCCTCTGGTGGTCAAGAAGATATGTTCTTCTCGTAAAACACTTGCCACATTTGGAACATAGATACTGCTTGTCCACTCCATGAGATCTCTGGTGTACCATGAATTCTGCTGTCTTGTTAAATAATTCACCACACTCAGAGCACAGGAAGCTCTCTGGGACTCCACCTGCCGTGCCTTGGAAGTTGGGGCAGGCAATCGGAATACCTCTCCAACATGCAGAGGGATCAGATGACAGAGGGGTGTTGCCTACTGAAGAATCTGCTGCCACGTCACTATCTTCTATTTCACCACCCCAAAGGGTATCCAAGTGCTGCTCTGTGTTATTCCTGGTTTGTTGTCTATCTAGAAAAAAATAAGCAGAGAAACAAGCAGTAGGAATGGTAAAAAATAATCATTTCCAGGAACAAATTTTTCCCCAAAAGTTAACGCACATTCTTCAACTAACAGTGTAGGGAAGGGACAGACCCTACTGTGTGTTCAAGTTTTTTTACTGATGTTCAGTCAATAAGAGTGGAAGTGAGTGCAGCTCTGGAACAGGGGCATACATACAGAGTAGGAAAGGGTGTGTGGTGGGGTTGTTAGAACCTCTGTTAGTTTTTATTGCTGGCTAGCTTCCTTGGGAGACTTCCCTGTATGAGTAAAAATGAGGTAAAATCTCCTCAATGGGACACCGATGGTAAAAAGAAAATCTGTGACAGGGGTTCTAAACCTTCCCCACTCTAAGCATAATCAAATACAGTGGGGAAAATAATTATTTGATCCCCTGCAGATTTTGTAAGTTTACCCACAAAGAAATGAAGGGTCTATATTTTTTATCATAGGTGTATTTCAAATGATAGAGACAGAATATCAACCAAAAATCCAGAAAAAACACATCCAAATGTTATAAATTGAGTTTCAGTTCAGTGAGTAAAATAAGTATTTGATCCCCTATCAACCAACAATAATTCTGGCTATGACTGGCTATGTGCTCATGTGGTCCTGTCAGTTTAAGAAGGTGCTCCAAAAGACAACTCGTTATGTGCATAAAAGACACCTTTCTCTCTTTCTTGGGCACCACCATGGGCAAGACCAAAGAGCTGTCAAAGGGTGTCAGGGACAAGACTGTAGACCTGATCAAGGCTGGAATGGGCTACAAGACCATCAGCAAGAAGCTTGGTGAAAAGTACACAACTGTTGGAGCGATTATTCCCAAATGGAAGAAATACAAAATAACCATCAATCGCCCTCTGTCTGGAGCTCCAAGCAAGATTCTGCCTTATGGGGTAAGGAATATCATGAGAAAAATGAGAGATCAACTCAGAACTACATGGGAGGAGCTTGTGAATGATCTCAAGGCAGTTGGGACCACAGTCACTAAACCAACCATTGGTAACACAATTCACCGCCATGGATTGAAATCCTGCAGCAACAGCAAGGTCCCCCTCCTCAAGAGGGCACATGAACAGACCCATCTGAAGTTTTCCAATGAACATCTAAATGATTCAGAGAAGGATTGGGAGAAATTGCTGTGGTCAAATGAGACCAAAATTGAGCTCTTTGGCATGAACTCGACGTGCCGTGTTTGGAGGAAGAAAAATGCTGACTATGACCCTAAGAACACCATTCTACAGTCAAGCATGGAGGAGGAAACATTATGCTTGGGGGCTGTTTCTTTGCTAAAGGTACAGGCCAACTTTGCTGCATTGAGGGGCCAATGGACGAGGCCATGTATTGTAAAATCTTGGATTGAGAACCTTCTTCCCTCAGCAAGAGCACTGAAGAAGCACCCGCCATGTTTGGAGGAGGAGGAATGCTGCCTATGACCCCAAGAACACCATCCCAACTGTCAAACATGGTGGTGGAAACATTCTGCTTTGGGGGTGTTTTTCTGCTAAGGGGACAGGACAACTTCACCGCATCAAAGGGCCGATGGATGGGGCAATGTACCGTCAAATCTTTGGTGAGAACCTTCTTCCCTCAGCCAGGGCATTGAAAATGGGTCGTGGATGGGTGTTCCAGCATGACAATGACCAAAAACATACCGCCAAGGCAACAAAGCAGTGGTTCAAGAAATATATTAAGGTTATGGAGTGGCCCAGACCTATAAAAAATTTATGGAGGGAGCTGAAACTATGAGTTGCCAAGCGACAGCCAAGAAACCTTAAGGATTTAGAGAAGATCTGTAAAGAAGAGTAGACCAAAATCCCTCCTGAGATGTGCAAACCTGGTAACCAACTACAAGAAACGTCTTACCTCTGTGCTGGCTAACAAGAGTTCCTCCACCAAGTACTAAGTCATGTGTTGCTCGGGGATCAAATACTTATTTTACGTACTAAACTGCAACTCCATAAATAACATTTGTATCATGTGTTTTCTTTTTCTGGATTTTTGGTTGATATTCTGTCTCTATCATTTAATATACACCTATGATAACAATTATAGACCCTTCATTTAGTTGTAAGCGGGCAAATTTACAAAATCTGCAGAGGATCAAATCATTGTTTTCCCCACTGTATATGTTTTAAGCTTTAACACAAAACTCCCATATTAGCAAATACAAGACTCATATGTATTCTCACATGAATTGCTTGTGTATTCAGTAATCCAGTGTGAAACTATGCCCTGTGCAGAAGCTTCCTGCTATAAAGACCGCTCACTGCTGCTCTCTCTCCATGTACAGGTTGGCTGGTCTAGTCTCCGCCCCCTCCTGTAGATTTCTGCAGGCAGCTTGTAGCGAGTGGACCTGCTGGGCCCCTCCCACAGCTCTGCTCTCTGCACAGGCTACGAACAATCCAGTGATGATGTCACTGCTACCTTTACAAGGGTATTATCTGGGTTTGCAAAGGCAGTTGCTGTGCACAAAGTGGATTTAAATCCTGTTTGGGTATTCTCCTTCCCTATTTGTCCTGTTTACCATTATTATTGAAAGTGAAAGTAAAAGAAATTCACAAATATTGGGTTTTCCCCAGAAAAGGAATAGAGGGGAAATCTTAGATGGGGACACTAGTTCTGGTGACCTGGGGGGCCCCAAGGGATTCCCTTAAAGGATAAGTTCACCTTTTCACAAAAAATAATAAATGCACATTTTTTTGCAGGTAAAAAAATGTGCATTTATTGTTTTTTTGTTGCAGGAGCCTGTAAAGCATTGCACCAGTGATCAGCAGGTCATTGGTGCTATGCAGGACTCCTGCAGGCCTGTCAGCATATCTGCCCCACACGGCTGCGTTTTGTAAAACTTTTGACAGCTAGAGGAAAGGAGAAGATCCCCTGCTAGCTGTCAAAGTGGGGGAGTGGAGGCCAGTCTATTCATAATATGTTACATGTTATACCCTGAATATGGGTGTAACATGTTATGAACTTATCCTTGAATTTGCAGGGATTTCCTCTCACTTCCTCTTTTGGCTATGGGACAGGAATTTAAAGTAAATCCCCCCAATGGTGCATCTGATGGGGTTATAACCCTCCCTTGGTCTATCCGAAAAGGTTTGCCTTTAGTTCTACTTTAATCTTTTATCCCCGTTTGGAATTAATGACAGGTACACTTTAACCCCATGCCTACTGGGCACTTATACCCCGTTCCTGCCCAGGCCAATTTTCAGCTTTCAGCGCTGTCGCACTTTGAAAAACAATTGTGCGGTCATGCAACACTGCACCCATATGAAATTTTTAGCATTTTTTTCACACAAACAGAGCTTTCTTTTGGTGGTATTTAATCACCACTTATTTTTTGCGCTATAAACAAAAAAAGAGCAAAAAATCAGAAAAAAAAAGTTTTTCTTTGTTTCTATTATAATAATTTGCAAACAGGTAATTTTTCTCCTTCACTGATGTGCGTTGATGAGACTGCACTGATAAGAGGCACTGATAGACGGCATTGATAGACAGCGCTGATGAGCTGGCACTGATTGGCGGCATTGACTGACGACACTGCTGGACACTGATGGGTGGCACTGCTGGGAACAGGATGGTGGCACTGCTAGGCACAGGTGGGCGGCACTGCTGGGCACTGATCATCAAGCCACTGATCATCAGGGCGCTGATCATCAGTGCCGATCACTTCTCTGACAATTGCCGGTAATCAGCAGTACTTTCCTCACAATGTGACAGCGTGAGGAAAGTGCAGCCGATAAGCGGCAACTGTATTTAACTGGTAATCTGCTGTGTCATTGGACACAGCTGATTACGTGGTAAAAGGCCACTGTGATTGGCTGTTTACCGTATCACATGATCAGCTGTGTCTGTAGGACAAAGGGATCACTGGCACTGCCAAGTGCGTGCCGCTGGGGGCGCACAGGGGGTGTGTTCTGGGAGGACATCCGTGGACGTCCTCCCAGAACTAGACAACCGCGCTGTAGCCATCTTTCGGCTATACCGCGGTAGGGAACTATAGAATCCTCTGAAATTGCGTGACTCACTCACCTGTGTTGATCTCTGGAGGGATTTCCTCCCTCCATGGCTCATCACCTATCACGTCTGTTTCTTCACCGTCCAAATCTTCCACTTTAACAATAATTAGGTCTTCTTCCTGCACTCAAAGAATTAAAAAAAATGCTTTTAATTAATTTTAGTGATGCACCAATATATCGGCTGCTGAAAATTATCAGCCGAAAATAGGTGTATCAGCGTTTTGCAAATTAAAAAAAAAAGAAGTGCCGATAATGATATCTGACTTCAATACAAAATCTTGTCCCATTGACTTCAATGCAAAAAAGGCCTCCTAATGACTGCAATGCAAAATCTCGTCCCGTTGACTTCAAAGCAAGAATGCCCTCCACTGACTTCAATGCAAAAACCACGTCCCATTGACTTCAATGCAAAAACGCCCCATATTGACTTCAATGCAAAAATGCCTCTATTTAAAGTGTTATTAAACCCATGACCCTGCATTTACATTTCTGGTCTCTCATAGTACACAGATCATGGAAATGCAATTATTTTAGTAAATATAAACTGCTAAATACCTCAAATATGAGATAAATATCTCATCAGCAGTATATAGCAGTCTTGTGACCTCTATCAGTGCCCAGCAGAGCACTGGTTAAAGCTTGTAGGAGGAGTTTTCATTCTCTTTCGATTGTCCTATGAGGCTGCATAACCCCTGACCCTCTGTCTGGACAGTGCTGATTGGCTCTGTGCTGATCAAGTGCCCTCCCAAGAAACAAAAAAACTCTCTATCAATACACAGCAAACTGAGCATGTGCAGCTTGCCCCCAAGGCTCTGTTCTATCATCAGATGGATTGGGGACAGTAAAGAGAAGGGAGGATCAGAGAACACAGGAACAAACGTCCTTTTTTACACTTGGCGAAGGATTAACCCCTTATATTCCACAGCGAGTATAAAAAGCACTCTTTACTGCATTTACAGACTAATTTTACTGTTGTGGGATTAGTAATACTTCCAATTTTTTTCTAATTTTATATTTATTGCGTTATATTTTCGGTCCAATTTTTCTGTGTTACTTTCATTAAAAGTTAATTTATGTTACTGGGTCATATTTTTTTAAATTCATATTTATTTAAATTCATTATATTAATTCAAACTTTGAATAGAATACAATTTTTATATCTATCTATATATATCTATATATATCTATCTATATCTATATATATACATACATATACATATTATTATTATACAGGATTATATCGTGCCAACAGTTTGCTCAGCGCTTTACAATAGAACGGGAGACAATACAGCAACAATACAGTTCAATACAAGAGGGTTTGGAGGGCCTGATCCTTGAAACTTACAATCTAAGATTATATATATATATATATATATATTTATTATTAATATTATTATAATAATAATATTTTTTTTTTTTAAACTGTCAATTTCTGTTTCGGTATTCGGCTGAGGGCATCCTGAATTTTCGATTTCGGTCCAGAATTTTCATGTCACTGCACCACTATTAATTATGATTGACAAATTTAATCTCATGCCTTTTGAGCTTCCAATTATTTCCCTAGGGAGCCTCAATTCTACCATATTATATAAATATATGTGAACATTTCTTGACCTTCAGGGGCTGTCCAGTCGCCCCCCTCAACGTCAATGTACATAAGAGGTCACTATTGGAGCCATAGGCGGGAGAGAGGACAGACAATATTTTGTGTCAATCCCCCTAACACCTGACAGCCTGATTTTATTTTTTTTTTTTTTATTGCAAAGGATGATGGCAAAATAAAGAGAGTTAGAGATGATCAAAGGGAACCTGTCAGAGCGGCTGTCACCTGATCCTCCTGAGGGATCTCCTGATGTTCCTGTGTGGAGTCCCGGGAATACAGAGGATGGGGACATCTCTCTGGTGGGTTCCCATTACTGAATCCATCTACCTGATCCTCCTGAGGGATCTCCTGATGTTCCTGTGTGGAGTCCCGGGAATACAGAGGACGAGGACATCTCTCTGGTGGGTTCCCATTACTGGATCCATCTACCTGATCCTCCTGAGGGATCTCCTGATGTTCCTGTGTGGAGTCCGGGGAATACAGAGGACGGGGACATCTCTCTGGTGGGTTCTTATTACTGGATCCATCTGTAGGAAACACACACACTGACTGAATACATTGTTTCTATGTCTTTCTATCAGAGGATGTGTGTATCCAGGTGGATCCTCAATACAAGAAATGAACGTCTCCTCTTACCCGGTGATGTGAGGGGCGGCCGGTTCTCCATCATGACATCCTTGTAGAGATCCTTGTGTCCTTCTATATACTCCCACTCCTCCATGGAGAAATAGACAGTGACATCCTGACACCTTATAGGAACCTGACACACACAATGATACAGTCACCATCCAGACACATCCCTTGTCTGTTACTGGAGAATGTCCCAGAATTCCCGGCACCGCTCACCTCTCCCGTCAGCAGCTCAATGATCTTCTGGGTGACTTCTAGGATCTTCTTGTGGTTCTTCTTAGGTTTCAAGGAGGAAGGCGGAGGATCATTGGACTTTTTTATTGGTCCGTAATTCTAATGTAATCAGACAATAGGTCTCATATATTGACATAAGTACCTGGCCGTTGAATGACCCTCCCAGAATCCACCTCACCTCTCCAGTCAGTAGGTAGATGATCTCCAGGGTGAGATTTATGAGCCTCTCAGTCATGGAACTCTGCTCCTTCTCCATCCTCGGTGATGAGACCAGGAAGGGACAGACCATAATGAAATTCTAGAGAAAAAATGCATAAGAAAAGAAATATACGAGACCTCCCAACTGTCCCAGACCATAAAAAAAGATAAAGAGTTTGGGAGATGGCTTCACAGGAAAGGAAACCAAGCAGAGTTTGGTTCTTCCACAAGGGTGGGTTCTACAACTTTCTGGAAAAGGTCTACAAAGCCACCAGGCTCCATCTCTTCCTTATCTGTAGAGACACGGGAAGAGGTTTGTCATATGTGTATGGTGAACCACCTCAACCGGGGCATACAGGTCACATCAGCAGCCATTGCATTCAAAGCAATGGAGGGTGCAAGGATCATCGTTATCGCCCTGAATAGAGGGTCACTTCAATCCGGATTGTTACCACCATCCCTGTACTGAGTTCCCGGGTCTGTACACCCGCTGTGCCCATTATGAGGTGTTCCCACCATCCCTGTGCTGAGTTCCCGGGTCTGTACACCTGCTGTGCCCATTGTGAGGGGTTCCCACCATCCCTGTGCTGAGTTTCCGAGTCTGTACACCCGCTGTGCCCATTGTGAGCGGTTCCCACCATCCCTGTGCTGAGTTCCCGAGTCTGTACACCTGCTGTGCCCATTGTGAGGGGTTCCCACTGTCCCTGTGCTGAGTTTCCGTGTCTGTACACCCGCCGTGCCCATTATGAGGGGTTCCCACCATCCCTGTGCTGAGTTCCCGGGTCTGTACACCCGCCATGCCCACTGGAGACACCTACAATTTCCAGGTTGGTGGTAAGTCATATAAATACCCACCAGTCCATCACCTCAGAAGTAGTCTTTTTTCTTTCCACATTATCAAATGCAATTACAACATGGCCAGAGGGAAAGCTGCTGCATTTCTCCTGAACAGTCTCACCCCTTACAAATAAAATATGATATTAATGGACATAATACCTCCTGGCAATAAAGGTGAATTACCTCCCAGGCAGCCAATCCCCAGCTGTAAACCAGCAATTTGCAGATACAGGAGAGCTTCTGTTGGAGTAAATGTCTCATTTGGTCTACAAGAAAATGGCCTTGTGGTCCTCCAACACTGAGCTGATGATGTTGGCTCCGGGAAGATGGCCGCCTCCTGATCACTGGTAATAGGTAGTTCGCGCTCTAGCGGCCAGCAGCTGATTGGTGGTCCGGCTTTCTCCTGTCCGCTATGCGCACGCTCCCAGTCCTAACGTCGCAGTTGCCTGGTAACCAAGGAACGCAAATACAGGAAGTGCTGGAACCACAGGCCGGAAATGGGACGTTCGCTTCCCGTTGCGGCTGATGATAGAGAGGAGGCTGGCAGCTGGTCAGTGCTGATGTGGTCCTGCATTGTGTGATGGGAGAGCATTGTGGGGGTCATGGATGAGGGGCAGTAATGGGGATAATGATGGGGGAGGGGATGGAGCTGCAAATAGATACATGACTTTATTATTTTTATTGTTCTAATTATCATAATATATAAATCTTTATTGTTCTTTGAGGGACACAGGAATTCTGAGACTGTGGGGTTATACTGCCTCATAGAGAAAAAAATGGATGCCGGCCACAAACAAGCCATTGGCTGGTACAGGATAACCTCGCCCACAACCAGCTGCGCATCCGTTTTCTGCGCATCCCTGGGAGATTGGACACTTTTCTTCAGCTTGGAAGATTTTTCTACTATCAACGGCGATTTTATAGATTCCTTCCGGGATATAAGAAGACCTGGAAACCTCTCCGGACCGTCGGGGCGCAGGTTTTTCCCTTTTTCCATACTGGTGTTCTCTGCGACGGCTCAGCACGCCCAGTGATGATGTCCACTTGTGTTCCACCATCACAGGACTTCACAGTCAAAGTGGAACCAAGGGCGCGTTTACACTTGCCTTTGGGGAGGTATGAAAATGTGGCCACACTATTACCGCCTCCCAACAGCTCCCCTTTTAGCTGCAAAGGTACATAGGGGTGCACACGTGCCGTGGTCACAGTGCTTCATGGCCAGAATTTAAGTGTTACTAAACCCCGGACCTCGCATTCACTATATCCGCTCTCCCCCCGGACCCCACATTCACTATATCTGCTGTCCCCGGACCCCGCATTCACTATATGCGGTCTCCCGGACCCCGCATTCACTATATCCGGTCTCCCCGGACCCCGCATTCACTATATCCGGTCTCCCCGGACCCCGCATTCACTATATCCGGTCTCCCCGGACCCCGCATTCACTATATCCCCGGGTCTATATGCCGTCTCCCCGGACCCCGCATTCACTATATGCGGTCTCCCCGGACCCCGCATTCACTATATGCGGTCTCCCGGACCCCGCATTCACTATATGCGGTCTCCCGGACCCCGCATTCACTATATGCGGCATTCTCCCGGACCCCGCATTCACTATATGCGGTCTCCCGGACCCCGCATTCACTATATGCGGTCTCCCGGACCCCGCATTCACTATATCTGCTCTCCCCGGACCCCGCATTCACTATATCCGCTCTCCCCGGACCCCGCATTCACTATATCCGCTCTCCCCGGACCCCGCATTCACTATATCCGCTCTCCCCGGACCCCGCATTCACTATATCCGCTCTCCCCGGACCCCGCATTCACTATATCCGTTTTCCCGGACCCCGCATTCGCTATATCTGCTCTCCCGGACCCCGCATTCACTATATCCGCTCTCCCCGGACCCCGCATTCACTATATCTGCTCTCCCCGGACCCCGCATTCACTACATACGCTCTCCCAGGACCCCGCATTCACTATATCCGCTCTCCCTGGACCCTGCATTCACTATATCCGGTCTACCCGGACTCTGCATTCACTATATCCGGTCTCCCCGGACCCTGCATCCACTATATCTGGTCTCCCACAAGACACACAACATGGAAATGCAATTATTTTAGTAAATGTAAACTGCTAAATACCTTTTCTCATCCGCGGTATATAGCAGTCTTGTGACTTCTATCAATGTCCAGCAGAGCACTGGTTAAAGCTTGCAGGAGGAGTTTTCATGCTCTCCGGATTGTCCTGTGAGGCTGCATAACCCCTGACCCTCTGTCTGGCCCTGTGCTGATCACCTGCACTCTCCCAAGAAAAAAAAAACTAGCAATACACACCAAACTGAGCATGTGCAGCTGCCCCCAAGGCTCTGTTCTATCAGCAGATGGACTGGGGGCAGTAATGGAAGGGGAGGATCAGAGAAGACAGGATCAAACAGCCTTTTTACACAATGCAGAAAAATAACCCCTTATGGTCCACAGTGAGTATAACAAGCATGCTTTACTGCATATATAGACTGATTGTACTGTTGTTGGTTTAGTAACACTTTAAACGCCTCTGTCGTGTTCGGCGGGCGGTAGTGCCCCTGCAGTGCACACTGTTGCGGTGTGGCATCTATAGGGGCCTCTTCACCATAAACCAGGCGCCTCTTCACCGTTGTCAAGAGAGACAAGCTATGTCTCTTCTGCAGTGAGACACACCCGCCTGCTCCAAGTCTTATTTTGAATGTACACAGAGCTGTGCACGGCCGGTGTTTCCTTGCATATGTACGAGATGATGTCATCCTCCTGTGGCCAATCAACAGGCCAAAAACCTGCCATCTGTAAGTAGCACAGTGAAGAATATAACAGCAGATGACGATGTAACTGTCGCGTGGAAGGTGGAGGTAAGTATTTTGCAGGATTTAGTTTTTGCCATCTTAGGCTACTGGGCTGTGTATTTCTATTGATACACATAGCTCAGGGGAAAAACAACTTTAGTCCTTGTATGCAAGGGTGGCTCCGTAGGACGCTGCAAGAGAAAGGAGCCACCCTGAAACAGGAAACCTGGGGCAGCGGTCTTGACATCAGCTTAAACTGGAACATAGGCAAGGATTGAAAGACAAAGAAGCTGCCTACTCAGGAATTACATCAGCTGCTGAAAGTGCTTCTAAAAACTGGGGGGGAGATCACTTTTAATATCAGTTTTCTGCTGGAAGCTTCCTATCTCCTCTCTCGTCTTATGTCTGTACATATCAGTAGGGCTCTTTGGTTCTGTGGATCCCTTGTGCTCAAAGCACTTGATCTGCATGACCTTTGAGGCACGCTTTTATGGAGGATGCTACGGTGGGTGGGCAAGCTCTCCTGTCTTCCTCAGTAGAAGACCCCTAAGGAACGGATTACTAAGTCCTCTCCCTCTCTAAATGTTAGTAAAATCTTTTTCGTTTCGCTTCTTCCTTGATCTCTTCTTCGAGAGCCCCGAGCTTGGCTGCCAGTTCATCTGCAAGCTCTGGAACTCAGTCTGCCAAATCCTCAGATGTCTATTTCTCTGCCTGACCCAATTTCCAGAGATGGGGGGCGTTTGTTATACTTTGTGGATGTGTGGACAATATACATCTCTGGCACTTGGGTGCAGGAGTTAGTAGCTCAGGGCTAAAACTGGAGTTTCAGCTCCCCGTCTACCTTTATCACCTCCAACCTTCCTGTGCCCCTATACAGATTATCGGATCTCCATTGAGCCCTCTCAGGTCTTTTGGATCAAGGTTTCATTGCAGTGGTTCCTGTGGCAGAATTGTCTCAGGGGTTTTTCTTCAACCTGTTGGCCATTCCCCAATCCAATGGGGACATGTCTTTATATAGAATCTCACAGCTCTGAATGCCTTCATTTGAGCCCAGAAATTCCACCTGGAATCCACCAAATCTGTAATTGCCTCCCTTTACCAAGGAGAATTCTGGATTCTGTGGACACCAAGGCTATGTACCTGTATGTTCCCATCATTCTGGTGCATCAAAATGTCCTACGTTTTCCTATGGGACCTCCCTGCCACCAGTTTGTGGCTCTTCCCTTCGACCTCTCATCTGCATCTCAGTGTTTGCCAAGTTACTTGCTCAAGTTAAGGCCTGCTGTGCTCTTGTGGCATCCCCATTCTGGAGTACTTAGACAATCTCCTGTTGAGGGAATAATTGGTGAGGCTCAATTGGACAATGTGATCTTGACTCTCCAGACATTATAGCAGTTCAG